TCAGCGAGTGGATCGCATCTGCAACTAGGGCTCACGGACTTAGTGACTTCCCGCTGCGGGTTTCACACCTGACACAGCTCACTTACTCGGACAGTTTCTTATTTATTTCCTCCTACTCTAACAGCAGAATCCAAAAGATTTGCAAAGACACACAATAATGACAACCGAGTTCAGTGCAGACTAAAGACTGCATCACTCTGCCCTGCATCCGACGGCTGACCTCCCTGGAAAGATGCAAACAAGACACAGAATGTATTGCGTGTTCGTAGCAGTGTTGCTTGGAGCGGTGAGTACTCTCTGACATAATCATCGTGGGTGTTAAATATTTGCCGTCAACTTCACCTGGTTACATTTTTCCCTGTCACATCGTGCGCAAAAAGCATGCCAGCTGCGCATCAACACGGTCCCATTAGAAGGTGGTTAATAGCTGGTGCGAGTGTGTGGGGGAAGTTTTCTCTCTTTCACGTGTTTTATTTTCTTTTTATTAATATATTTCTTCCCGTCCAGCCTGTCACGCCCTTCACCTTTTGAGAGAAAACTTTCCTGAAAATCTTTACTTTTCTCTCTGTGATTTAAAGTCCCAGTCGTGTTAGATGATACTGGTATTTGTGTTGCCCACCTTCGTGTCTCTGCACCTGTCCCACCCGCAGCCCTGGCTTGACATTGTGAAGCAAGAATGGATGTATGCAGGAGCCATTCAGGTTGATACTCTATAGCCTCAGTTGTGGATCTGTAGTTCCACCCTTCTCAGTTACATGTGGCTCCACAGACAGGAGGACAATAACAATGTAACAGTGGGCTCTGTGGAGGAGATCACCAGTAAAGCCCGGGTTTGGTTTAACTTTGGTGAATTCCTCGATTTACTGAGTTTGTGAGGCAAACTTGTGATAATGGGCATACAGGAAGTTAAACATTAAGCATGATCTGTAGGGCGATTTCTAGGCGATGCACAGATTCTCACCACTGCGAAGGCCTGGAAGATGAAGCTACACAGAGGCAAAAACAAGCAGATGCAGGAGATGGAAGTAAACACAGAGGGAGGGAGACAAGGGGGAAACATGACCATGTGGGAGAGGGAAGGAAAATCCACCACCTTATAAGGATTCATGAAAACTATGCCAAACTGTCCGTTACATGGACACGGTCAGCCTGTGCTGTGAGCTCGTCAATGTCTTGGTTTTTGGAGCCGGCTGCATCACTGATACGTGACAGCTGCTCCCACTGATGGGTATACATCCTCTGCTGGCTCAGCACATGTAATATTGATAGAGTCTGAACCACCCTCCTACCCACTCCCAGCCCCCTCACTTTTCCTCTCCTCCTTTCCCCCTTACATGCTCACTTGGCTCGCTTCTTGTCTGTTTCTCTCCCTTTGCCTCTCGCTCCATGAAGTGATGATTCAGCTTTGTTTGCGAAGGCACGGGGTTGTCGTGTAACTGGCACCCAGTGGGCCAACAGCAGTTTAGGGTCCACGTCTGGATTAAAATTAAGCCCAGTTTATTGGAAGGCTGGTTTAGTGGAACTCTAATGGCTTAACAAGCGCTGACAGCAGAGGTCCAGAGGTTAAGTGCCTCCAACTTAAAATTGACTGTTGCATTAGTAAGATTGGTTGGAGCATTGAAAGTGGTGTGTCCAGATGCTTCTGTGCATTCATTTGTGTGCGTGCGCGCGTGTGTTCTTCTTACTTCTCGATTTTGCTTCAGGGAAATTGGCTGACAAAAGTTGAAGCATGCAGCCCACAAATTTCCATCTAAAAAGCAGGAAACGTGCAAGTCGAGCTGCAACTTGCTCAGTGCTCTGCATCCTTTTTCTTTTTTCTATTGCTCAAGCCGTATGCTGAACATCGCATTGCCCTCTAATTCTTCTGTTTGCACAGCCCAGCAGACATTACTGATGCACTTTAACCTCGGTTATTCATCTTTGAGGCGTCTTGGTGCTGCACACCCTCACCTGGAGCTAGAATAGGGTAAAATAAAACTACAACAACAAAAAAAGACGCAGTTGTCAAAATGCTGGAACTTGGAGTCATTTCAAAGGTGTCAGTTTGACTTTTGGAACAGGTTTGTTCACATGTAAGGTTTGTAAATGTGTTTGCACGAATGTGAATGTTTGGTTGGTTGTGTGTGGAGTACACGAAGCGGGCAGCTCAGGGGAAGCAGCTACTGTAGAGTGATGAGCGTGTGCAGATGGGAAAGGTGAGCGTGAGGTAGAGCGTGAGCTGCGGTGAGGAAGAGAGCAAGGGCTTTGAAGTTGTGAGGAAGCTACAAAGTGAAACATTTTGGAGGCTTAAATCACCACATGGAGAAAGTGTTGCAGGTCACACAGAGAGAATTTGGTGTTACAACAGTCAGAGGAGAATTAGGAGCTTCACTCGATGAACATAAACTGTCTTTGTTTCCCAGAGTTTGTGCACTTTCATGAAAATAATAGATGAATCAAACTAACCAGGCATTTTTTTTTAATGGAACATTTCAAATAAAAAGTTCCTGCATGAGGCTGAAAACATTCTTGAACATTTAGAGGATGAAAAATTAAATACCAAAGACTTGAAGTTCGATGAACCGTGACACCGTTGAGAGCAACAGCGAGTATGTGTTTGTGTAGGTCCAAAGGAAAGCGTACATGCTCACACCCATCCACACACTCATGGACATTATCTGCCAGCTGACTCAGTGGAGGTGCTCGAGGGGACATTTGATGTTTCTTGGAGCTCCTTTCTCTCGTCAGTAACATTCCACACACACCTGAACCCTGACGCCTGTCAGGCGATTGTACCTCCTTCGCAAAATGCCCCCATCAACATACCCACATCCGTCCTCTCTAAGTATATTTGCTGTATCTGACTTACATTTAGTAATAAAAACAAAAAAGTGCCTTAAAAATTGTTTTAATGTGGTCTAACAAGGCTGAGACACAATTTTCTTTACACCCTTCATCTATGAATAATGGGATAACTCATTAGACATACACTGGCTTACAGCAGACGGTCCTGATTTCATATATATCAGCTTAAAAATCATCATGTATATGCGGAAAAGGAAAACATAAAGCTTTGTTAGTATGTAACTTTGTCTTGTTTGCTTTAGAGATTAAGGTGTGCAGAAGAAAGCAAAGATTTAGCTATTAGATATAATGTCAAAGGCCATGCACACTCATAGGTCTTAAGAGTTGTAGTAAGATGTAGAGACACGTCCCGGCTCAAGCCTGAGTGTCATGCATTTATTTATGCCTGAGCAGAGACACACACAGATGTCTTCACCTGTCAGCAGCTTCGATAACGCACTCAACAGGTTATTGTTTGCAGAATGTAGATAAGACCAGCTTTATCTTTGTGAGGATGTGTTATTTTGTGTGCTCGCACTTTATAAATGCCTTCGCTTCTTAAACTTCCATGTGACCGTTTAAAAAAACCCAAAGCAGGACCTCATTGTGATGTCGAGTTACAGATCCCGTGTGTCAAAAAATGTAAGCAGTTTAACCAGAGAATTATTTGTTTCTACAATTTATTTTTATTTGAAGCCAGACAAGGAAAAGAAAACGTAGTATTGCACAAAAGCAGAGAAAACAGAAAAAGGGACTGTGGAAAGTGAACGGTTTTGTGAAGCTTTGCCATTAATCATCTCACAACTGTTCTGATTTTTCTTCCCACTTTCCTTCGGGGCCCTCACTGGCCCCGTGACTAAACTAGTTTAGTCCTTCCAAAATAAACCTAAGCAGATGCCAGACAGTAAGAAAGATTTCCGTTTTCTAGAGCGTTGTTTATTTTTCCTTTCTTTCTAATGCTCTTTCTTGTGAAATACTGGGGCTTCTTTCCAGCATGATGGCCTTTTCAGCCAGCAGTGTGAGACTGAGTTTATATGAAGTGCGCTTGTTGCACAATATGAAACATTGCTTCGCTTGAGGCAAAACATTAAACTTTATCTGTAAAATTATTTTTGTGTGTGTTTTACTGACAATCTTCAATTTGCTGCTGTTAATGGAGTTGCTGTCATTCTGCAGGTTGGGACCATGGCCAATAAGGGAGCATGTCCATCAAACCAGTATACACACAGTGGCGAATGCTGCAAGCAGTGTCAGCCCGGCGAGGGTGTCGTCCAACCCTGTGGGGCCCAACAGACCGTCTGTGAGCCGTGCCTCGATAGTGAGTATCACACAAACAGCTGTCTAAATGTCACGAGAACACGGACACTCGTAGATTCAGGGGTTTCTGATGCAAATACACAGAAAAAAAACCCGGACGCATGCACTCAAACATTAATGAATGAGCTAGCTGTGCTGGTTACATGCCTCAGAGCAGAGCTCCACGAGCACGCCATGTAGTCTCTGGTTCTGATCATCAGTGTTTCATCTGATAGAAGAAGATGATAAACTGATGCCCTGAAATTCACCCTCTGTCTTCTTCCTACTTGTTCGAGCTTTCTGCTGTGAGTGTGTCCCTGGAGAAAACACATGCTTCCAACAGCAGTTTATGGAGGATTGTAAATCAAATGCAAATTTCCTTCAAAGTTTGATTTAAAATCCAAAATCCTTGGGCTCAACAACAGCCTTCTGTAGTTTTTGCAAAGCTAGATTTTGTTATTAGGATATCAGCAGCTATAGTGAGTTAATCTTTGTTGTTTCATAGTAGTATAGCATGTGTCATATTTTAGTTTTAGCCCGTTTTTAAAGCTTATTTATTTTTTCCTGTTTTAAAATGTAAATTTAATTATATTTTTTTGTGTTTTATGATAGCAAAAGCTCTCCAGCATTGTTGTTTTTTACATTAAATTTATGTTTAAATCAGTTCATCCTTAAACATAATAAATATGATTCTACAGGACATATACATGACAGTCTCTACTGCTATGTTTACCCATAGACTGTATACAAAAGATGTACGGAGCTATGACTCTGCCCACTGGTTTGTGGACTTTGTTAAAGAAGCCTTGGCTTGAGTATTTGTGTCGTTGACATCTCAGCTTTTTGAAACCAGTAGGCACATATGAAGGTTGATTTTTTTTGTCTATTTTAAACTAAATGGGACCATAAGTTACTAAATGAACATCATGCTACATTCCCATTGACTTTAAACTAAGGATTGAGACCATAAACTCATTAGCAAAGTGTTTACAGATGTCGTAAGAAGTAAGGAGTTGGGTTGATTACTGCTATGATTTGTCTTGTTTTTACAGCCTAGTAAGCCCCCCTGCTGGTCAATACAAAAGAATCCAGGTTTAAATCAGGCTAACATTTCCACATCACACTCTTGATTTGTTTATTTGTCTATTTTTTTATGAGAAAAAATGGAGCCGCCACATAATCAGGCCATCATCAGAGCTATTAAGACACAGTGTTTCCGAAGCATGATGTTTTTTATTGAAGTCACAGGACTTCAAAGTCATTACGATTCATGCTCTGAGTTCTTGAATTTCAGGGCTGTCCAGCTAGCCTTTGATTTGACAATAGCATCCCTTGAATCATGTAAGTGCACCTAAAAACAGCTCCCAGCTAGATTACCCAGCAAAACAGCTCTCAACATTAGTGTGGATGAAATTAGATTATCACTCTTATGAAACCACGGTGTTGTATGCCAGACAGTAACAGACTTCTTAATGTTTTTACATTTAATTTAAAGCATTAAACTTTTTTGGATGTTTGGAAGTAAATTGGATGCCAGACATAATTGTTCTCCAGTATTCAGCCCTCCTCACGGCCTTTACCATGTAGGGAGAGAGGCTTTGTTGGGCTGAAAGGCTTTCTGAGGACAGTGATGTTGAGAGGATTCAAGAGCGGGAACAGCTCCAAATTCTGTCAGAGAAAAAAAAACTCTGTTGGAAGATGTGTAGTGCATTAGACAAGCTGTTATGTCACAGTAGATTTGGTAAGCATGAATGGTGACTGCAGAGCTCAAAAAGGTATTTAAAGTCTTCTCAGTGTGGTACAGCTCCACATTTTGGCACAGGGAAAATTTAACAGCATGAAATGTTTTGGGAAATTTAGAATCTGAGGTCATCTCGGAGCTACAGAGGACACATTTGGTCTACAGCCAGTTTTTCTTGCATGAATTCCCTAACCATCCTGCAACCAGGCCAGGAAGTAGCTGCAAACCTCCCTGAGCCAGCGGAGGATGGTAACCCATGAGCCAAGGAAACCCACACTCACAAAATGATTCAGACTTCAGGTCATGAGAGAAGTCGTGAGAACGTGGATGCAGATTATTTATTTATTTAGGATTGCGGGTCTTCTTTGAAAGATGTATGTGTTTTTCAGTGTTTAGAGTTAGTCGACAACTTAATGATATGTTGCTTTTGTGCATAAAAGCGTTTAGTTCTAGACTTCTTGTCATAAACTGTCTTCTGTTCTATTTCTATTTTTTCTTTTAAAAAAAGCTTCTGTTGTCTGCTTAAAATTATAGTTATTTGAAATGTCCCAAAGGATAATAATTATCAGTCTTATAGCGCTGGTTCAGCTCAGGCGTGAACAAACAGATGGTGACAAGATCTGCTCGAGCTCATAAACAGAGAAATGCCAAGCAGATATCTGTTCATGAGATAACGTTATAATGATGTTGTAAAAACACACGCATAGATATGAAGCTGAAGTTTCTGTATTCAGCCCATTTACAGCGCGCTTATCAAATCGATGCTTTAACAAGCCAGCCTGAACAGTGTCTTGTAATATGCATAAAAGCTTGGCTGGTGGCTTCTTTCTTTTTCTTTCACCTGCTTCAGAACCACAAATTTAGTTGCAAAGGCTACAAAACAAAATAAAAAGACTGTCTGTTGTTAGTTTCTTTGATTAATTACTTCGTGAGATTAACATGAATGAGCGTTAGTGACCTTTCCCAAGGGCCGGACATATTTTAGACAAGTTTCTTATTGTAAAAATATGTCATTTATCATCGCTGTGGTGTTTCTCCATGATGGCATCCAAGTCAGATCACAGCACAGGCCGTGCTGTATTATTAGACTGGGGGAAGTTTTTGTGCATTCACATGCTCGTTGGATGGTCCCATGTTTCAGTTTTGGTTTTGTTCATGTGCTTTTTAGTCATGGTGTAGGAACAACCTTGACACTAAGAAGGAGATATGTGGCATTTTACTTATCAGAACATGTGAACCACACGCTGGAAGCTGTTTCCAGTTTAGTGTTAATAATTAATGTTTTTTTATTCAGGCTTACTACAAAAGAATTACAGTTATAATCAAAAGAAAGCATGCCCTCGTTGAACTCTAAGGGTTTACATATTGGGACATAATAAAAACATGTGTCTTAAAATAAGGTAAGTATAACGTTAGGTGAATGACAAAAGGTGACATATTACACCACATGTTTACTTTTGTTTGATAAAAACTTAGCCGAAATGCAAACGCACCATGGGGAAAAGTAATAACACGCTAACTGCTTCCATACGGATTAAGAGGGGAAGTAGCAGTCAGATGCTGATAATCAAAGACCCTTGATTAACTCATGATCAGCAATTGTGATCACCTCTAAAAAAGCAGACATTCTGGCAGTTTCTGCTTTGGAGCATTCAGGTGTTTGTAAATGCAACGCCACAATCCTGCAAGGAGTGGAAGTCCAAAGCAATCACAAGGAGGTGTTTGGTGAAACACCCTTTGTGTGACTGCTTTCCTCAGCAACCTACAGGAACCACTTTTCATCCAGTTAGAAATACACATTTTTTACTCATGACTGGTGGTATACACCACTCTGAATCCAGTCATTAGTTATTATTAATCTATGGCTCTCTTCCTAGAGCCTCTTTTGAACTGTCTCCTTCTCCTCCCCACCACCTGATCATGGCAGATGGCTCCCACTGCCTGATCCTGATTCTGCCGGGGATTTCTTCCTGTTAAAAGGGAGTTTTTCCTTCCCACTGTCACCGCTTGTTGGGATTTTCTCTGTATTATTTTACGATCTCTACAATAATAATAATAATAAAGACTTTAAGGCAACAGTTGTTGTGATTTGGTTCCAAATAAGTAAAATTGAATTTAAATTTAAATTGAATTTAATTGAATTGGTGTCAGTGGTGTGTGACATTTTTAAATACGATGAAGGAATACAAGACAGTCA